ATTGAATTTTATTAAAAAAAGAGAGTCACATATTTATTGTACTTTTTCAAAAATAGATGTCCGATTAACGTACGTTCTTAAATCAAATGTCCGCAACCTTACAGTTAAAACAAATAAAAAAATATGCGCATTTGAATTATTTTGATCATACCGAAAGTAATCATGTCACCATCTTGCTTCCTTAATAAAATGGACGTGGGTGAGGTGCGAATATGATGCTCATGTTATATTCACATCCACACTCTGTTATTGATAGTGAAATATTGTCTTGTATAGTGAATAGGAATATAGATAAAATTTTACTAATAGTTTATTCACGAGATATCATTATTTGACAATGAGATGCTCAAAAAATTTGTGAAACATTCAAAGAAAAAAGTAAGAGCAATTAATTTTTTGAATTCTTTTGTTTTTCTTTTTTAATTTTATAAGAAATAGACGTTTGATGATTGAGTATCGAACAGAATTATTCGAAAATAAATTTAATTTACATCAATCTGCCAAGATGTGTTCACCAAAAATTGCTTTATCTGACTTCATCTTGCAATACTACTAAATCTGTTTATATTGTGGGAAAAGTAATCCCGTCGCATGAGTGTTAAGAATGAAAACTGACATTTTACGCATCAAATAAACGTTTCTTTTGAGCGAAAGGAAAAAGTCGATTAAACTAAACCAGACATGTGCATACTTGTTTGTCTTCACATAAAAGTACATTCTTTTTCATGCATTAAAGTATGTACTTTTTCAGTTGAAAAAATATTCAATTTTGAGTATTTGTCTAACTGACAATGGAATATTCATAGGTGTGAAGCAATTAGGCGCTCATATTATCTCAGTAAAAAATCAGGCACATGTTTCAATATACAGATTTGTTTTACAAGAATGTTCATAAAACTTTAGCGCATTTTCTCTTTAAGAATGATATCGTTCGTTCGATCCATGTATCCTTCTATGTTGATGATTTCTTTATTTTGCTGATATCAATCTTTGTTGTAATCGTGTATTTGTGCACCTTCTCCATCTGAAAATAGATCCTTTCTGCTCTAAATTATCCTTATTCATATGAAAATTGATGTAGCTTCCAAATCAATCGTTTTTTAGAATATGTAGCAGTAGTATTCAAGCTATTAACCCTTCCAAAAAATGGTCGGCAACTCAGCTTTAACCATCATGAGTAAAGAAAAGTATCCATGTAGCGAGGGTGTGGGTGTTGTCTTAATGTTATATTGACATTTCACTCAGTCACACCTATACCTACATTATCCATATGTATGTTTATCAAACGTAGCAGTAACCTAATGACTATTGTTTGTTAATTTCAATAATTCATTCGAATCAACTTTTAAAGAAAATATAAATAATAGATATGATTCAGAGATAGTTTTATTTGGATTTATATCGATTGGGGATTGATTAGATCTACCAGAAGGTGAAAAATAGTTTGATTACTCAGATATATCAACATAACTTTAATTAACGTCATATTTTTCACTACATGGCATACTTATCAACAATAAATATAATATTTTCTTTTTATAGATATTTACTATTATTTATTAAAAATGTACTTTTATATGTGTTGACGCTCACTTTATTTGTTAGTACTATTAAAAGAGACGAGAAAAGGTTGAAGATAAAAGTACATTTTTTTCTGTGTTTTTTCTTCCTGTTTTTATCGAATAGTGTATGTTAGAATGAGAGATCAACAGAACAAACACAATGATTGAATCAATACGATTACATCTTTATTTGAATTTTTCAAATGAAAATATTATTAAGTAGAACATTTTTTTTATTTATAGTTAAATTAGATGAATTATTTATTCCATAAAATTAGAATTATTTCTGATGATTAAAATTTTTTCATTTAAAACAAATTTTTATTAAATTATTACAAATAGAACATATTAAATAGTATCATATATTCAAATATAACTCTCAATTAAATAAATTCATATAATCAATAATATATTTATTAAATAATAGATTAATATTAGAGTTACAATCAATGAATATATTCTCAAAGTTGTTAATAATCAGAAGTATAGATAGAATTTTTCTTCATTAAACTTCAAACAATCAGAGAAATCTATTAATGATAATGTGCGTATGTTATTACTAAGACAATCTTTTGATGACATTGAAGATAATCGATAAATTTTTTGTTAAGACGAGTTTGCAACATACCCTTTATGAAACTCTATTAAACATTTTATTGAGTGATCGTAAAGTAATATGATATGTATTGTTCATCCATGATATCTTGAGGGTATGAGTGTGAGTGTAGTTGAAGATTATCCTCACCCACATACGCACCTCACACCCATCTGAGTTACTATATCCAGGAGTGTAGAAAGCATAAGAAAGCCATTGATATGTTGAATGAGTCAATTGAACACAAGTAGTCCAATCCAAAGTTGTTAAATTAGTTATTGATTGGCAAAGCTGTTATACTGATATTATAGAACATTCAGGATACTCCATATGTATCTTGATAAAAAGAATTATCATGAGATCCTACATTGAAACGTGTTGGATTGTAATTTCCAGTAACAGCAAAATAACGAAGTTGAATTTTTGTTTTAGTAGAAGATGAAGAAAAAACAGCAATAATTTGATTGTGATGAGATGTTGATGAGAAATAAGTCGTATTAGGTGAAGCATGCCATTCATCGTAATGACCTAGAAATCCCACCTGCCAAAATTCAGTTCTAATATCTCTATCATAGGTTCGACGTAAATAAGTGTAATCACCATGAAATGTAGAATGGTTTCAAACAAAATACAAATCATCCAGAATATAAACTACAATACCGAATAAAATTCTTTCTATAATATATTTTTGATAAAAAATCCTCACGTAAGTCTATCATAAAGAAAATCAGGCACAGATAAACTTAAAGTTTGTCCAGGAAAATCAACATAGACTCGAACAATACCATGATAATTTCTACTGGTAACATTCCTTAAAACAGTAACGAGTGAAGAGAAATCGAATGAATTTGTATCAGTCATTAAATTTTTCAATGGATTCCAAACAGTTGAACTAGGATCATAAGTGTACGTCCTACTAGAAGACACCCTACCAAATGCACTTCTTATGAAAACAATTAGAAATGATGAATAGATCACATTTATTTGGAAAATGTCTTTAAATGTTCCAATATGTAACCAAAATTTTAGTCTAAGTTTAAGAATAATCTTAGATAAATATTGAGCGAAGTACTAGGTGACAACAGAAAATAGAGTATATCGGAAAGGCAACTATTTAAGAGACAGTCCATGAGAATATCGACCAACGTTCCAATATACGAGGCACAAGACAAAAAATACTTTTATGATTTAGCATGTGCATTTGAAAGATCATGTTTTGAAACTAACAAATCCAAATTTTTAGCTCATTTGGATGTATTTTAAAAAAGTTAGCCTAGATCGACTTTTTTTCACTCCCAATCTATAACTTAGAATTTAGTCAAAAATTATGTTATATATTTTCACTACAAAATTTTTTTATAAATTGGACAATTTTTTCATGCAATATACTAAAAGATAGAGCATGAAAAACTGAACAAAACGTACTATTTGAAACTTTCAATAACATCTCTTTACTGAGATTATATAGGCTAAAATTAGTAGAAACCCTCATATCTGATGAGTTTTTGAGGCTGGTTTTTGGCACCTTTGTCCCATGATTTTTCTCCAAATTAAAAGTCCCCAATCTGAATTTGTGATATGTTGTGTAACTTTTAATTCTCTACAAAATGGTAAAAAAATATCGAAAAAAAAGTTTTACCTTTGAGCCGATATGAGGCTCACATTGTTGACAGTTTGGTGAAGACCCTTCAAGAGAGTGACCCTGAATTTTTTTCAAAAGTGTTTATTTTTGAACACTTTTCGTTTTAGAGTGTTCCCAAGTTCATTTCCAATAGAACGGCACTGGTAAGTTGACTTCAAAAAGAAAAAAGTTTTTGGGCCCTCCAAAACCCTGAGGGGTACCACAGGTATTTTAGAAAAAAAATTATTTTTTCGAAAATCAGTAATAGTCTTTTATATTAGTATGATTTCGAATACTGATCAC